TTAAATGGATATCTGGGCCTCATATTCTCAATTATTCGGGTGGTAGTTGCATAAGAAGTCTTTTTAACTGCAGCATTGTATCTCTGTCTCGTCAACAAGCTGCTATGGTTTCTCATGTGAGCCAGCTTGATATATACGTCCTTCTTAGCGGCGAGTTGGGGGAATGAGTCTTGGTGTTTTGATTTCTTTATATCTCCCTGTGAACTTCTCTGGATAATTATTATCAATCAGAGTTTCTATCTTCATCTTCAAGTGCATCTTCTGGGTGTATTCGTTAAACCCTACAATAAAAACGCATCTCATCAAGTCTCTTTTAAATCTAAAAGCAGAGAACCGGTTGTAACTGAGATACTGTCCCGTTTGTCATTTTTAAAATATTTTTCTGCGCGTTGAAGCTTCTTTAGCAAATAAGTTGATTTTCTGGGATAGGGTTGCTAGCATGACACCCAACCTTCCTTCTTTTCTCAGACTTAGGACCGACCAGCAAACTAGGTGGGGTTTGAAAGAAGAGTAATGTGAAACCTTAGGAATCAACTAACCAAGAAGCTATTGCTCAGTAAATACGCTGCAGGAAATGAAGATGGTAGAACACACCATGAGGAGACAGTCGAGTGAGAATCAGCGAGTTGGGCATGAGTTCGAGGTGAGGCTGAAAAGACCGGGTAAGGAGGGGATGAGATCCTATGGGCAGTCTTGGAGCTAGCTGAAGAACACTATAGAGAACATGATGGATTGAAGATTTACTGTTGAAGCCGTATTTTCCACTCGGAACCCAAGGGAATAATAATAGTATTCATCTCCTTTTAAGTACTCATTATTAATATAACAGACACTTTGGTTTATTCAAAGAAAATAAAACTTAAAGTGTTGCATGCGAATTTCTTTTACAGTGAAATAGCCCTGTCGCAAAGATTTTAAAAATGTTGCTTCGTACACCAGACGCCCTTCAAATGACTCTAAGGCCCAAACGTTTTACGCAACTAAATAAAACTCTGTCAAGTGAGTTGATGAATGAAAAGTAGAATGCTGACCAACTGTGGCGGAGGTCCAAGTTCTGTTCTCAATTGACGCACTCTTAAACCTCGCTTAGCACGTAAATTGGTAGTAGCCCAGCAAACTACAGAAATTTGGCCTAAGACTACTAACCTCACCCCATACAATGAACACAATCCATATTGAAAGTTTCAAGATAATTGACCTATGTTCCACTCGGGACGCAAAAAAATGAAAAAAAGGAAAAATCGTGTACCAGGCCCAATTGCTTGGTTGCCACTGAATAACCAAAGACATATTTTCCAGTATTGGTTTTGTGGGGATTGTGTTTGATTGGTTGGAGGGTTTCATCATGAGCTGACATCACTTAGAGAACCAATGGAAAGCCTGGGAGTACTGGAAAGCTGTTCCGTCCTAGTTTGGAACTAGGAACTAGGAAAAAACAGCTTACCAGTACTCCAGGTTTTCCATTGGTTCTCTAGCTGATGTCAGCTCATGACAAAACTCTCCAACATTTTTCCACTTTATGTTCTTATAGAATTCCAATATGACTCCTATTCCTAAGAGACGGTCATCATGGTGCAGTTCAAATCTCTGTTGGTTGATTGCAGCTACTCAATAAGACTGCGGTAGCCTACAGCCATAGGTATTGTGCCTGTGACAGAAAGGCATATTTTTAACCAGAAAAAATATCATTTAGAAGAGCATTACAATGGCATGCTTCATAAGTTAGGGACCATCATTCCCCTAGATATACTGAATTCAAAATAAAATATAGGTTACTGTGACGATAACAAGGGCTAAACAATGAGTGGCATAGCACAAGAGTAACCTTTACGGTTTTAGTACTAAGTGACGAGAGATATAAATTGCTAACAGGTGTCCATGATAACGACAGCCACGTTCAGAGATTGCTTATGAAAGCATATTACTGCTCTTCATCAAACGAATAAAAAATTCAATTATATTAGCTACTGATTTTGCAGTTAGTAGTTAAACTATGAAAAGCAAATATTTCTGGTAAGAATTTCATTTAGCTGTGAATGAAACAAAATTGCAAACACAATTATGTTCTGAAGTGCATTCATGTAAGCAGTTGACCACTGAAAGACTAGTTTTAGCGGAGCCTTTGCTCGTTATATCATGTATTTGTGTTTCTGTTACTCTCTAACGCAAGTTACTCAGAAGGGAAACAAGATTACTTAACTTCGCACTTAAGATCTTGTCATTTCAATCTAATCAATATGTGACCTAATAGATTCACCTTATTATGCGTATTTATCATGGGAATACTTCAGATATACAGGTGTTTCAATTGAGACCTTTTCGGGAAACAACAGCAAGACTTTACAAAAGCTAAGCTAAAAAAGCATGTATGCACAACGCTTGGGATACATTCTTTGTTTTATCTAACCTCTTTTACTACCATGTCACTAGTTATAATTTTATATTCGGGCTTTTCTAATAATTTATTTTTCACTTCTATAACCGTTCTTAATTCTTTATTTCCCTGTTTCCTAATAATTATTTCGATATCAGTTTAACAATTAGTTGTCAGCTGCCTGATTACACTAGTTTATCCACTAATTTCCAAACATTTTCATTTATCATATTATTTACTATTCACTTAGGTTCCAAGTTTAACAACACACCTCCACTTTGTTCTAATTCTTGCTGTCCTCTTCAGCTGGCCGCAAGATTGCCCATAATATCTCATCTCCTCTATATCGCCCCTACACCAGTGACCCTTTCATCGCTTCCCTTCGAGATTCCACTGGAGCAATGGCCTGGAGCGCGATGTCATTCATGCCCAATCCATCTCCATTTTCTTTTACATATTTGTTGAATTATAGTTTCTTGACTGGTTTGTACGCATAGTTCCTTTTTGCCATTTGATCTTGAGTATGAACAAAGACAGCTGTTGATGAAAGTCAGTAGAGACCTTCTGGTGATGCGTAGGTCAATCGTCTAACCCAAATAAAAGAACGAACTCGATATTGGTGTTGGAAATCCGAATTTTGTTCCGTATAATGAGGCGGAGTGCCGAAGATTTCTGAACGGATTTCAGAGTGATGAAGGTGTATCTCGCCTTTTTGACTCTGGCCAGTTTTGAAATCTTCATCCGTTCCGCCTCCCTGTGCCTGAAACCGTGCCTCCTAGATAAGTGGAGGGAGTAACCTCTGACACATCTCTTACTTTGATGGTGATTGGTTCTGTTTGTTACTGTTGTTGTTGTTGTTAGTGGTGGTGGTTATCTTCACCAAATCCGTGTTCTCTATTTTCACCTGGAGTCCTGTCTTCACGGCCTCCTTCTTCTGCCAGTTTGTTGGTTTTCGCCTGCAAGTCTCCGAGTCTCTGTGACATTACACATACATCATTCACACGCGAATTCAAGATCTTCTACTGTAGTCTTATCGGTTAAGTGTATTCCTGTCTTCTCGCTGCGCACAGTCTGACGCATGATCCATTCCACCACAATTATGAGTATCACCGGTCATATTAGGCAGTCAGCCTAGTCTTACTCCTGTATTCACTCAAACAGAAGGCTTCGCTGGGTTTCCCACTGTGGATCACATAACGCATACCATTATCATATAGCTGTCGAGTGAGGTCAATAAAGACACCTTTATGCTGTAGTGTTGGAACAGTTTCCAGTTTACTTCTCGGTCCACTTTGTCGAGGACTTTTCAAAGTTGGTGAAATCGAGGTAGAGATTTGACCGCCATTCTATGCTTTGTTGGGTGACGATGCGTAGAGTTGCAATTTGGTCAGCACATGATTTGCCTTTCCTGAATCCAGTTTGTTTAGGCCTGTGGAGTTCTGCATCCAGTACATCTTATATTCTCTCCAGGATGATGCGACATAGTATTTTATTTGGCGTGGACGACAGTATACACTCTGATTTATTCCGTTACTAACAAAAAACAAATTCATACCACTGTCATCAGTTAGAACTGTACCTATAACTGTACAACTTTGAAGAAAGGTTACGAGACGACTTTATCTACTTATATGTTAGTTGTATGGTCTCAGGATTTTTGATGAATTTGATAAAGAATACTTCTAGTTTTATCTTCATATAATGATGCCCTAAAAGTCTATTTTCCAACCACAAATTACAAAAACAAGCTATTTATTTCAGATTTCTGGATTTTTTATTCTTCCGCAACTACAGACCTTCAAAAGTGAGCAAAACTGTTAAGATAAGAGACCATCATGTTACACAAAATAATAACATCTACCAAGTATATTGAAGATGTGAAAATGCTACCTTTTCACTGTGCAAATCCTAAAGAGCTAGAAATGAAGACATTGTTTTAAGCTTCTTAAAGCTGAAAGATCATTTTATTTTAGGCTTTAACGATCCGTGCATGTATATGTCAATTCCTGTTTGTTTTCAAATGAATATCCCAGTGACTGGATAGTCATCAAACCAAAAGAATTAGGATTTGCGAATGTGCTACTTAATTTGTTTTGAGTAGCCTAAGAAGAAAATAATAAATTTGTCGGGTTGTTGAATGCATTTTAAGGTAATTTTGTTCATATACATTTGGGAAACAAATATTGCTGAGATAATTTACAACAATCATTTTAATATAAGTAGACATGATTTCATCAGTGACACTAAAATAAACAGAATACTTGAAGATGAATGTACATAAGGTCTACTTATATGTTTGTGTTTGAGAAATATGACTAGTCGGTGCGTCGTTGGCACAGTGGTTAGTACTCTCGCCGACCATGCACATTGTTCGGGTTCGATCCCCTGCCGACGCACACCTGATATCTGTGGTCGGCCTGCAAAATTTGGGCTACCGATATCACATGCTGAAAATTCCATACCTGTAGCAAAAATATGGTGTGGAGTCAAACTGTAATCAAAAAAATATAAAAAAAATAGTCATCAACTTGCTAGGTTGAAAGTGGATAAAACATTCGTAAATAATTTCCAAATCACTTATAACAGTGAAATACAAGCAGAATATATGTAATTGTATATCGCTTACCTAATCCATTCAGATCCCTGAGCACCTGGTTCAGATGACTGATAAGAAACAGCCCTGTTGCTTGAAGTATCCATCTGATTAGGATTTAACTTTGTTGATTTGGGTGAAATTCGTGTTAGTTTACCTGTTGTAGCCGATAAAGCACTTCTTCTTACATAACTGAGTGCATCAATCTTCAATTGAATAAATCGCGTAGCACACGATGCGCATCTGTCGTCTGCCACTTTAGACAATGGATGTTCTGGTAGTTTTAAACTTTCTAAAATTTTTGCTGTATCTGCTGGTGATAGTGGAGTCTGCGAAATGAAATTTAAAAAATGTAAAGTAATTTTTCAACAAAATATGTATTGTATATTCTAGTGTAATGAGAAATGATAAGAAATCATTTGTGAGAACAATTTATTTAAATATATTATGAGATCAAAATACAAAATGTACTAGAATTTTTTTTCAATAAATTACATCAAAGGATAATAAATTTTTGAATTGAGACATGAATTGATTTTGATCATCTCATTTGTGAGCAGGTCGGGTGTGAGGAAAAATACTCGCCGAAGACATTGGCTAGGGTCGGGCGATGTTGTGAATTGGTAGAAGTTAGAATTAATGGACTGGCCATTGGATCGGGTCCCACTGGCTTAATGTTATACGAGCTCGCCTTGTAACCAGAATCCTAGGTTCAAACCGTGGCGGTGGGTGAGTACTTCTGAAGAGCCCCAAACTAAGACGAAACAGCTGTCCAGTACTCCCAGGTTTTCCAGTGGTTCTCTAACTAATGTCAGCTCATGATGAAAATCCTGTAACTAATCAAATCCTTACAGACCAACATTTGAAAGAATATTTTCTTCGATCACTTCATCTATCGAGTACCACATAAATTGACAGAAGCCTCTAGATACTGAATACCACGAATAGCGGTAACCATAAGAATCCACTTAAAACAACTCTGGTAAGAGAGACAAGTTAAGTACTTCCTACCATGGCCTGCTGTGGAATTTATGAATTCATAAATTCTGTATTGATTTTCTAAATTTATGTGATGTTTCATCCAGCGTTATATTTAAAAGCAGTATTGCTTAAATATGTTAAAAACTTTTATCTACGGATCTTATTCATTCTGTGTTATTTAGAGTAGCAGTGATGTTAATCACAATAATTTTTAAAGTAAGATCTACAAATAACTGTCAAACGTGGTTAAGACGTTATCAGAAAGTATATTCTTTATTCACTAATTAGTCTTTTGAAATTTTTAATGGCCATCTTTAATCAGTTAAGCTTGTAAAAGTTTTTCTAATCCTCTACGTTTCCAGTGGAACATAGGGATTCAAGCTAGAGGTTTGAAGTTTTGGCAGCAGTGGTGTTAATTTTTACAAGATGGGGTTGCTGGCATCATACACAACCTTCCCTTTTTACCATTTTTATTACTGGCTCAGTGTGTTAAAGGAATTCGTTGGCCGAGGATTGAACCCCGAACGACACGCATGGTTGGCGCACATCTTACCACTGGCCACCGACGCATAATCTTGTAAAAGTGTTGAAGCATAAATATAAATGTGGGTCAGCAGTTCAGTGGCGACATGACCACCATACTGTTGAAATGAGAAATACAACAAAAATGCACTAATTATGTAAAATAGAAACCAGAACAACCTTAGAGATATATGTATTGAAGTTTCTCTTCGTTTTGTCAAAATTAACTGACTTCTCAATCTGTCATCCATTACAAAAGGTATATAAACATTCATCACTGCCAACGCAATGCAAATTATGAGTTCTCAATTCGTGTATAAAGGTAATATAATTCTATCCTCTGTAGACATTTAAACATTAAGTTCAAATACAAACTTTTGCATGCATCACAGAAGGATGCAACAAATATTTTCTAGAATATAAAGTCGAAATCGATCAGTAGTGAGCGAATCAGATAGTCTACTATCCCGAATGATTTTCCTGATTGCAGTAGATTGGATAATACGACAGACAACGGCAACCAACGAGGGAACAGGCATAAAATGGACTCACACAAAAAACTTGGAAGATATGGACTTCGCCGATGATGATATATGTCTGATTTCCCACAAACTGGAAGATATGCAAGTGAAAAGCAACAAGTTGGCAGAAGAAGCATCCAGAGAAGATAGGACTTCAGGTGAACATAGATAAAACAGAAGTGATGAAGATTCCTAGCCAACACCAACAGCAACACCACCAACAACAACAGACAACAATCGGCATAAATGGGAGGAATCTGAAAGAAACAACCTCCTTTACCTACACCTACCTGGGAAGCATCGTTTCAACTACAGGCAGACGGAACTGACGAGGATATAAAAGCAAGAATCGGAAAAGCAAGACAAGCTCTCACTACTCCTAAGTCTGTGTGGAGGTCAACAGCACTCAGCATCAAAAATAAGATCCGGATTTTCAACTCGAATGTGAAGTCAACTCTATCATACGGATCAGAGAATAGCGCATCATAAAGAGCATCTCAAACAAACTACAGATCCTCATTTACAGTTGTCTTCGCTCAATGCTACTCAAGATCAGATGGCCGGCCAGAAAAGATCAGCAACAGGGAGATCTCTGGCAATGAGCGAACCAACCCAGCTGTAACCGATTGTGAAGCAAATAGGCAGGAAGAAATGGAGATGGATTGGCTGGCCATACTCTGAGGAAACAAGCCATCAAGTGACATCACTAGACAAGCCATCGCTCGAGTGGAACCCCCGAAAGGGAAGCGACGAGTTGGTCATCAGTGCAAGGTGGGGTGACTTGGAGGAGGTCATGTGAAGAGGAGATAAAAGCATGTGGACAGACTTGGAGCGGAGTGAAAACGTTGGCAGAGGACCAAACGCAATGGGGACGCGCGGCTGAAGCCCTATTTTCCTCTAGGAATTAAAGGAAACAATAATAAATAATAATAAATACAATATTTAAGGATGAAAAAGTTTTGGGATTTCCTACAGAATATTCTTACATTTAATACTACTATACTTGAAATAATTCGACCACACTTATGCAAAGGCAGTCAACATTTATCAGTTACATATGCGCAAAATGATACTCCTCGGAAATGAACTATAAAATTTATATGCAATTTGACGAATTCACAAGTACTTTAAGCATTTAACGATTTTTCATCACTGTTCATAAAATTTACCTCCATGGTTCAGTCTTATCACCTGGTGGAATTACCAGTAGATTATGAGATCATCAACTGAATAGTGGATTTTATAAATGATGAATTCTCATCAGCGTAACAGAAGATGAATGCTACACTACTTAAATCGACTGCAACGTTCAAGGATCACTGTATGGTAGCATAGATAAGTCTTAATAATAATAGTACATTTTTTATTCCTTTACGTTCCAAGTGGAACATAGGGCATCAAGCTAGAGGTGTGGAGTTTCGGTAGCAGTCGTGGTTATCTTTTACAGGATTGGGTTGCTAGCCTCATACCCAACCTTCCCTCTTTACCAGTCCTAATACAGACTAAGTGAGGTGAAGGAGTGCGTCGGCCGGGGTTTGAACCCCGAACCACACACGTGGTCTGTGAGCATCCTACCACTTCGCCACCGACACACTAATAATAATAAATTGGTCTACTAAAATTTAAAGCGACTGTTTTGTGCTGTGACCTCCACTTAGACTGCGCGATTTGCAAAGAGCCAACTGGGTACTTTAGAGTTTTGTTTAAGTATTAAAAGATTCAGTAAATTCATTGTGTTAATTTTGAAATCTATAGTCATATATATAAATTACCTAAGACGTTCACGAGCCCCAAAAGATAAGCTCCCCCGTCTGACCGCCTCCATGTGCATCTACCAGTTCACCTGCTCTTGTGGAGCAAGGTACATTGGCGGTAGTCAGAGAATGCTCTCCACACGGATACGAGAACATATTCCAGCTTGGTTTTACAAAGGGGAAAGCAAGTGTGTGCGAAGCTCTGTTCTGCAACACCTGATCGACTTTTGTCACTCGGTCAACCCTGACCATGATTTCAAGATCATATATAGAATTCATGCTAACTTGACGCGTTTTCTTCGTTACAGACTTCTAAAGACAGCTGAGGCCTTGGCAATTCATGAGACCTTTGTGTACAAAAGAAGTACGTACAATCCCTACTTCTGCCTTGGCCGTAGAGGGATAGACATTTATTTATTTTGTTTATTTAGTTACTCTATGTACTTTTCCCTTATTACTTCGATTATTATTATTATTACTATTCTCACTCTGAATCTTTTCCACTTGACATTTTACACCCAAAATTATTTATTTTTACAATATTGAATTCTATCTCATCAAATTTCACACCATGTTATGTAACATTTTATATTCGCCTACTAATCTTATAATTATGTATACCTTTCCAAAATCTATACACCTCATGTATTATTCTATATATGACATTAATTATTTTTCCACTTGACATTAAACTATGATTATAATCACAAATATTTGAATTGCATTTCATACCACTATTATTATTTCATGTATTCACACCTTGACCTAATTCCATCACCGGATATAACTTCTGACAAACCACATATATATACGATTGTACAGCTTGATAATAAATTCATTGAAAAGAGTCTCTTCTCTGAATATTGTGTTCTTAATCATATAAACGTTTATCTAAAGAAACATGCATCCCTATCGATGGACACGATGAGTCATTTGGGAGAGTACATAATGACGGTTATAATTATCCTTCATTTCTGACCAATGCAAACACTTGAAAATAAATTAAAATTTACATTTATAAGTTATAAATGGGATTTAAAACAAGGGGAGTTATCACCATCAGTGTCTTTAGCGCTATCAGTGTCAATAATTCTATTTATCATAATATCATTTTTATCATTGAATAACCTTATGGTTGATTATGGCTAAACAATGCTGTTCACATTCCATTTAGATTCAGACGATAAGAGAGGCAGACGAACACAGAGAGGAGAGAGACGGAGATAACAGGATAAAATTAACAGTTCAGACAAATGTGAACGAAATACTTGAATTAAATCCAGACAAAATGTATATTTAAAAAAAGTAATTTATTTTCTTCTATTGAATATCATTGTTTATCATGACTTGAAAACTATGAATCATTCATATCAATAATGTTAAATGATAAATACATGATTGTTGACAAGGCAATAAATTATATGCAAATCGGATCAAATAGGCAGAAATAAAAGACAAAAAATCTACCAAACACTGAGACAATCAAGTCGGACAGTTAAAATAGACGAAAAATGAGGCAACTACAATGTGAGGAAAAAATAAATCCAGTCA